GAGTCCCTCTTTATATGCAAATTTGCGAAAGGGTTAACTTTTGACTGAAGGTCAGTTGGCATTTTGTTCGACTTCTCCACAGTATATAATAGATTGTATATCATTTTTCTCCCATTCTGGCCTGTTCATTTTTAACGACAGAATTGATTGACATTTTGCACCCTCGAGGCGTCTGTATTCAATATTCCGAATAAACCGAAACGGAGATGAGTTTGTGTTGATAAACCCTTTAAGCCATTTTTACTTGATTGTTGTGGGGCAAAAAAATGGAGACCTGTTAAATTCCATACTTGATAAAAAATCAGAGCTTATTTGCTAGTACCTAAAGAACTAAAATTTATTATGAACAGAGTTAAATCTACAGTGTCAAAAAATAAAACAAAATTTTAATATGACAAACAATTAAGACATTTTTTATTTATCTAAAGATTTTAATTAATTTATTATTTAAGAAAGTTAAACTTATATTTGAAAACTCGATACAGTTTGTTTTTCAAGTATCCCAAGGTTATTATTATTTTGAACTTAGCTGTTCAAAAATAAATGATGCGGATCAATTTCGGTCGATGCCCTTGAATAAAAGCTTTGTTTTTATTAAGAAATTAATGTGAGGTATGAAAAAGAATAAGCATTTAAACGGATTTTACAGATCCCTTGTAAAAATAGTTTTTTAATTTTAAAAATTCTTCCTTTCTAACGTGTTTTTATTAATCCGAAAAAAATAAAAGTTACTGGCTCAAAACAGTAACCGCTTTAAAAAAAATATCGTCTATATATATCAATAACTCTAATATACGTACCAGTTCAGCATTCATTTAGCAACGGTCATTTCCTGCCTAAGCCCATAAACCAGGCCAGAGAGTCGGGTCCAGAAGAGAATCGAACCAAGGACGAGGGGGACCACCTGTAAGCCGCTTGCCAATCGCTGACAGCCAACGCTTAACGTGAAAATCCCCTAAATCGCCCCAGCTGCAAACGAGTTTCGCCAGGATCTGGCTTTAGCTTTGCCTCTGTGTCCGCAACTGTATCTGTATCTGTATCTGTATCTGCGACTGACCGGAACCCAATTGAATCGAGTCGCTCCAATGGCGGACTTGAGGCTAGTCCATTTGGCTTCCTGTTGCCCCATCGACAGAGAGGTAAACAAAAATGTTTTCATGGACACAACTAGGGGCATTAAGCTTACCTTGCCAAAGGTTGCGGAGGCATGGGGCAGATATCCAACTCTCTCTGGGGTATCATTAGCCGTGGTTGTTATAAATACTGTCTTCGTTGTTATTTGTTGATCAGCGGACAACCACTTGGTGAGTAATGTGCTTAGCTGGATTTATAGACTAGAATCCCCATCTGCTCCACCAGTCGATTTAAATGCTTTATAGGTGAGTTTTGGCATAACAAGGTAAAGTTGGAGAAAATCAAACTCTTTTTGGCGGCTTGGTAAGTCAAACACTGTTCCTATTTGCCCAAAATTCTCACTCATAGCAAAAGGAAATATTATTGTAAATTACACCAAAAAATCGAATTTCTAATTACACGCATCTTTTCGTCGAACGCCGAAATGGAAATCGGCAAATGAAAATTGTGAAATGGGTAAAACGAAATGAAATCATCAACAAAAACATAATTCAATTTTACGGCCCGTTGAACCCACTAATGAATTATCACACAGAGTTCGATAGGACATAGTCATGAATTTATACAACTTTGTATGTGCAGATCTAGATATTTAGATGGGCCATGGAAATCGCAAACAGTTTTTCTGTTTTTATTGAATTTCCATTACATTTTGGATTTTGTTTTTGTGACCAATTCAGTATGCTGTTTGTCTGTGCTCGATGATCCTTTGCCCATTTCCCGCTTATTTCGTTTTCGGTATTTTCGCGTCTGTCTATTTTTCATTCCCTTAATGAGTAATTCGAAGCCAGACTAAAAAAGCATTTTGGAAATTCGTTAAACTCGTCGGGAAAAATTTGTTATATCCTAAGCAGAAAAAAAGTAACAACATATGTTTAAGTCTTTATCAACAGTCGGTATTTTGCGATGCATAAAATTTTGAACTGCCATACACTTTCTCGAATACGCTTCTTAAAAAATAAGTTTCTCTGTTATGGAATTAATATAAACGCCAAATATAGACGCTTGTAAAAATAATTAAATTTTAAATTAGTTTTTGGGACAAGTTAATGAGTTACAAACAGCCTCACAATATGTAAATACTTTTCCTTTATATGTTTGGTAAGAAATAACAAAAAAGTCCGCCAAAAGTTTTAAAAAAGTAATTGAAGTTAAAAACAATCTGATGTGAGGGTACCAAGTTAATAACTTTCCAGACGAGAGACAGATAAACTGAAAAACAATGAAAAAACAAGAGAAGGCATGGAAGCGGAAAAAGAGTTTCCCAAGAGTGTAGCTCTTTCAACTAATTTCATAAAATCGCTAAACGACATTTAATTAGCGCAACATCAGAGGGAGCGTACAAGGACAAATTTCGTTTAACGTAGACATATTGTATTATCGAAGTTTACCAATACCTTAAAAAAAAATTTGAATCATAGAGTGCAAGATATATATAAAAAATGTAAAAATATAAATAATTTGTGTAACCCATTGGCCTTGTTGTGCATTCAATTCATCAATCATACCATTGTTTCTCCGAAATTAAATTATTATGCATACTACTCTCATACATTTTCCGTAACCGAAGTCAACTATGAGTCCTTTACAATTACATTTCCGAATATGATCTAACAAATATTGATTGTTAAATTTATTTTAGATGAATACCAATAATGAAGAGAAAAGTTCAGCCAAAAATAGCTGTATTCCGTAGGTCCTATTTTTTTCTGTTCTTCAAATTAAGCTACTTTAAAGCTGTCTCGTCCCGAGGGTCCTAAAAAATGTTTAACGCAACATTTAACCAACGGATGTGCCCACCACACCATCAACTCATGGCCGGTAAAACCAAAAAAAGGGTATAAAAGCCCAATTGGGAAAGGGATGAAAAAAGGGTAACTGAAAAGGCCAAAAAGCAGCTTTGATGTTATTGCCGCAAATTAGCTAGAAATCTTTTGCCTACAGGTCAGTGTTTCCCCATACCCATTCGATATCCCACTTATTCTGCCCAGGTTGTTTTGGCCTTCAGTTTAGCCGATTATTTTTACCTACACCTGTGCGTAACAAATAGAAATTTGCCAAGAAAATAATTTAACTTCAATTGAGTGCGGGCATGAGCAGAATTTCAAGTATATGTATTACCGGCTCCACAAATAGAAAAGGCAAGGCACATAAAATAAAATACAAAGTTTTTGATTCTCCGACTTTGTCAGAGTCCATGCTCAAGTTAAAGCGGATTCCCATTTTGTTTTCACATATTTTTGCTCTGCTTATGGGGAAGAGAAACAGCACATTTTTGCTGCATCAATAGTTCAAATACTATTTTATGCTTAGTTGATTATTGACTGCAAGTGGAAATTTACTTTTGCTTCATCGAGTAAGGACGAGGAGAGACTTACTTTTTTGGGTTAAGTCTGGCAGAACGTTAAAAATTGGCAGACGAGAGAATCTTGTTTGTTTTCCAACTTACACGGAAATTGTATTTTTGCTCAGCACAAAAAAAAAGAAAAGGAAACATTTGGCAAAAAAAAAATTGTGTGTCTATAAATATAACATGCTTTCATGAATAACTATTTTTTTTACATTTTATCTTTGTATCTTAGCTTTGTATTTTTTAAGAGCCTTCGTAGTTTGGTAAATCAGATTTATACACATTATTATTTTTGTATTATATTATGTGCTTATAGTAGTAATATTTGGACTTCAAGTTTTAAGTTACCATATCTTGTCATTCCTTAAGGGCCTGGTCTAGTTACATAATATAATAAACACCAAAAAGGCGAATACGTAACTTTCACCAAAAACCGACATTAACTTTAGCTTTGTGTAACTTATGTTTGGCCCTTATTCGATGCTATTCTGGATACGACCCTGTTGCTTTCTAACAATGCTAGTCGCATTTGCGCTGCAGTCAAGTGCACCGCCAGAGTATCCTGCACTTTTGTGGCCAGTGTGCATTGCTCTTTCCCTGCCTTTCCATTCAGGCCTTTTCCATTCCATCCCTGACTAACCCGCACTTCAAACTCTCGCTTTCAATGCGCTCTCCATGGAAATGCTGTTGCCATACAATCTGGGTTAACGAAGGTTCCTTAGAATGACGTTTTTGTGGGTCGCAAGCGAAAAGAAAAAAAAACACTTTGGATGCCCTTCAAAGCTTCACTTTTGTGTACCCTTGCAGAGGGTATTTTAGTTGCAGTGCAACTACACCCTATAAAGTATATATATCCTTGATCAGATTCAACAGGCGGGTCGATCTAGTCATGTCCGTTTCTATGCAAACGATACCCTCAGTTTTAAAGCAGTATATATAAGTCGGAACGGGTCGGATTGGCTTACTATATCATATAGCTTCGACGGTATAATTGACCAAGCTTCTAAGAAACGAAATTAATGTTTGTCAAAAGTTACTTAATTTCTTGTCCATATTTTGTTTAATATTATGTTATTTCTAAGAGTCAACATTTTCCTTCTTCCAATTCAAATTGTTTTTTAAATTTGTTAAATTTAATTAATCAACTTTGCACTTCAAGTATAAATACAGTACCTACTTATGCAAACAAATTAAAGTTTCAGTCTATTAATCAATAAAAATATGTGTTGATTATAGAAATATGGTTTTCCTAAAAAAAAATTTAAGTAAAATCAATCAGCTTTAAATAAGTTGGTTTCACAAGTACTTATGGTTTCTGAGTTGAAGGTCACTAGGGAAATGACTCGATTCTTAACTAAGAATAAATATATATTGCATTCGTTGGAATGCAATCTGTGTTCGGTTTGAAACCGATAAGATTCGTAGCAAATTCTTCCGAGAAGAGATAACGCTTGTGCATGAAGGCGCAATTTGACTCAAATGAAGTCAATCTCAGCTTTGAACTTTCCAGAACAACATGTCACCACCCTGGGCATTCGAAGTTATTCTCGGGAGCTGCGTTCTTTTAGGTACAGTCTACTGTGGATCATTTTGTGGGCCAAGTAGGATGTTTGCGTGTGTACCTACGCGCTTTTGTTCCGAAACCCGCAGCATACCATCAAATCCTGCTGCTTATTACAATAGGCAATGCTTCTCATTTGAAACTTGCTGTGATCTTAACAAGGTAAGTCCAAGGTTTACATGCTCTTACAAGTGGCATACTAATGAAGTACTTTATAATTGCAGGTCATTTTTGGGAAGCGTTACAGTGGAGGGCAATTCCTGCCAGGTCCCTACGATCAAAGTGTTTACACCAGTGAGCCTGTCAATAACACAGGTGGAAAAACGTCCACAACATATAATCATCCACCTAACAACACCGGCGGAAAAACATCTACAATAATTGGTGAAAAAAGTGTAACACCTAATACAGGAAAAACTGCTACCAGTTATAACCCAGAACAGACTGCCCCGGTTAATAGACAAAATCACATTAATTCGGGAAATACTATTGCAGCAAGCCCTACAATGACTAATTCTCATAGTAATAATAATTCAGGAAAAACTGCTACAATTTATAATCACGGTGTTAGTGGCGGCAGTAGTGCAGTTAATAATGGAGGAAAAACGTTTCCAACTTATAATACTGTAAGGCCTTCGACAATTACTAATTACAGTCCTAATAATGTAGGAAACACTGCTAAAGTTAATAGTAATAGTGCTCATAATAGGGAAAACACTACTCCTGTTGCTTCTTCAATAAACCAAAGTCGTCTTTAAATTTGACCGTAGAAGCTGTTTTTTTCAACTTTAACATTTTAAAAAAATGTATAATAAATATATCAACAAATAAATATCTATTAAAAATTGTAAATCAAATATAGCACCACCAGATAAATTTTATTTTTATAAAATTTTCTATAAATATAATATATACGAATAATGCACTGAACTAATTCAACCAACCATAAAGGGGGAAAGTGAAAGAAAGGTCTAGCTATGAAAACAAAGAGAGAGTGATGGAGGAAAGGGACAGCAAGATCGCTACAGCTGTCACCATTGACAGGAAGTCAAAAGTTGGCATCCCCCAGAAGCGGAACTGAAACTGACAGCAACAAAAACACTCACACAGTCGCCGCAAGGACAGTCGAAAAGAAAATCGGGGCACAACAAAAATAAAAAGACAAAAATCTGCAAAAAAAAATTTGATTTCCACAGACAACTAAAATATTTTTACCCCATCCTCCGCATCCATCGAACCTATGCCAGCTGGTGGAAGCAAAAAAATCCAATTTTAATATAAAAAGGCAAAAAGGAAAACAGGGGAAAGAAAATAAAAGGACCTTCCGAGTGCGTTTTCCAGCTGTTTTCCTTCGACGAGAATTTGTCATTTCTCCGTCTCATTCTTTTCCTGTCTCATTCTAAGCTTGTTTGCATGTGTTTCTCTGTCTGTTTGTGGTTCGTTTTTCCTTTGTTTTTATTATTGTTTTCAACAGGAAATTCGTTTCCGTTGTTGTTTTGTTTTCTCCGTATTTTGGCTACAAGTTTTTCTTCATTTTTCAATTCCTTCGACTGTCTGCGGCTGATTGGGAAAACCGCCGGACCTAAAAAGGGAAAACTTTGAGAAGCCTTTAAACTAAATGCATTAGCTTACCTTAATTAAGATAATAAATGTTTAAATTTCAAACTCTTAAAAGCGTTTTCTAAATCCTATTTAAAGCTTATACATTTCGAACTTTCACTGAAGGAAATCCTTTTATTTTGCGACTTATTCGAGTGTGAAATTTAAAACCAAAAACTATTAGCCTAATGCATTTAAAATTTTGATTTTGAAAATGGTTAAATTTGTAAACTGTTAAAAGCATTTTAATGTTATTTTATTTTCCTCAAAATCTTTTTTTATATAAATCAGCCTTGCACTCAATTAAATCAACTTATTTTTGGTCAAATTATTTTACATAATGCCGGGAAAAAAGAGAAAGCTGCTGCGAGGCAGAATCTCGAGCTCATTAATTTAACTTACCAAAAAAAGAAAGAAAATGGGTGTGGGAAATTCAGGCCAAACAATACAGAGATAGACGACCAGGAACAGGATGTGCGGCAAGGTAAGATGGAAGGCAAAAACAGCACGAAGGAGAAGTAGCACGGAAGCGGATTTTCATTCAAGGTAAAAGCAATCAATCAATATTCATGAAATCAGATTTAATTTTAAGCGCATTTAAGTTGCCAGCCAAAGGGACGTCTCCTCCTCGTCAGCCCACAAATTTCTCCTTGGTAATGATTCAGCATGAAATTTCGGGTGACTGAAGAAAGGCAAAAAACAACAAAATCAGCAGCCACAGCAAAAGCAAAAGCAACAAAAGAAAATCAGTAAAATGAAACGATGTCGACGTCAAAGCAAATGAAACTGAAGATGAGACCAGAGAGAATTTTCGGACGAACATCATTAGAAAGTTACTGGATTCTGGTTGGAGTTGGGTGGCTATATCCATCCGACCTTGCTAATTGTATGACAACAGAGGGGGAGTTGGTGGGTGGTAGTCACCCACCTGGCCATGGCCACCTTTCCTCCCTTCGAGTAGCTGCGCGCATAAAACTAAGCTGCCAATTCAATTTCGTAATCAGAGTGGCATGAAAAATTAAATAAAACATGCAAATAAAATTATTACGCATAATTTGTGTTCACAGGGGAGATGAAGGGCTCTCTCTGTTGATGTGGGTTGGCAATACGATTTTTCGCGAGTTTTTCGGGTGCGCAGGAAATGATTTTAATTCCGTTGGGATCTTGAGTGTTTGGCGGTTGAAGGTTTCCTTTGGAAGGCGATTAATATTAAATGGCTGACATTTTATCTTTAAATTCTTCTAACAAATAATTCATTTATAAAACAATTTATACAACTAATTAAAAATATCGATTTTTAAAACGAAACCAAACAAAAAGTTGTAATTCCTTTTTAAATTAAATACTATTGACGCTGAGTGAAAAATTTTCATTATAAAATTCCAGGAAAACGAAATAATAATAGAATTTTATAAATAATTATTGTGTTTGTTAATAAACCAAACACCTAAAAAACTATTAAAATTATCAATAACCAAATGTAAGTTCAAGAATTAAAAGAAAAAGACAAAAATTCTGTTATACATTTTAAATTAAATATGCACTTCTTAAATTTTTAAACTTAGTAATATTTAAAATAACAATAATATTGCTTCCAAGCTATTCAAATTCACATTTTAGAAGCATGCAAGTACTATTATTTTAGCACATTCGTAGCTGACCGAACAAAGGCATGAATTAATGAAGTCTTTAATTAAGTTGTTTTTATATATACCGACATCGTATGCAAAAAACGAGAGTGATACTTGTGTGTGGGTGGGGCCTCGGTTGTTGAGGCCAAAACTATTAGCAGTGTGTCGGAAAAATAAACCAAAAGTTCGAGAGTAATGAGATCGTAAAGGCACAGATTTAAATGTAAGTCGGATAAAGGAGGGCCAATCTAATATGTGCATCTGAAATTGAGGCTGGGAGGAGGGCGTAAACCTTTGTACCGCCTCATTTTTCACAAAACATTTTGCCGTCGCTGACCTTTTTCTGGTCTATATACTCCGTTTTTCATCCATTTTCCCTTAATCGACCGTTTTATCTCTCCCAGAGATTTGTAAATTTGTGAAGCAGTTTTTAATGTGCTTAATTTTATTTCCGCTTCTGCCACTGGATTCGGTGTTTCCCTGTTTCGGTTTGAACATGTGTTGTTGGATAAACTTTTTCATTGTTGCCGTACATCACACAAGCGGCTTTATTGGTCAGCAGGGGTTAAAGTAGCCGAGTTAGTTTGTCAGCCTTGGCATTAAACCCATACTCCCCATTGCCGCCTCATTTCCATCTGGCAGAGCTGCTGCGCCGCGGGTTATTTGTTGGGTTCAAAGTTCGGGTCTAGTCTGGTCGCCCTGGGATCGGGGATTGGGATTGCGGGTCCGAGTCCGGGTCTATGGGTCTCTGGGTGGACATTGCCCCCCACTGTCGCACCATTTTTCGCTTATTTAGTGCTCTAATGGGGCATAAGTGTGATTTGGCAAGTGTTTAATAAGCTTTTCAAATTTCCCCCAGTCGCTTAAATTATTTTATTTCCATGCTGGACTTGGAGCATAAGTTACTTGGAGGTAACATAAATGCTATCCCATTGGAAAAACCCCCTATTGATTTAACAACAGTTCATAAGCAGGAGATAAAGACAGAATTTAAAGTGCAAAACAAATGCAGTGTGTATGTATGTACTTTTACATACAGTTCTTCTTATCAATTTCAGTTTTAAGGTTTGTATAAATCAATTTTAACTATGGCGACGATTTTGCTGCACAAAATTGTTTCTCATTAATTTTGAATGGCATTGAGAAAAAATCCTATTACTTAAACAAATTGATAGAGTTTTATTCGAGATATAAGTCAGATGACAACATTAATATTTTAACTAGAGCAACGATTTTGTTTTATTGATTGGCCTTTCACCTCGGATATTTTTGAAAAATCAAAAATATTGATGCCAGTTCTTTTTTAATATGTTTGAAAAATCTAAAATTAACATACTGATGATTATACTTATATTATATATAAACATATTTTTGGGTGCTTTAAAATTATTGCTCTATTGACACATCTTTCTTGATAAGCATCAACATGTCCAGAACAACAAAAAGTCCAAATTGCTATGTCCATTTGTATGGAAAAATCGGGGTCTCGAAAACAACCAATAAATTTGGCACGCTCACTTTTTTAAGCCCCATTAAAATCATATATGTGTGCAACGCATTTAATAGTCGAGTGAGTCACTGGGTTTTTTTTGAAATCAGTTGCGATGCGATGTCTCTTCTCGGGTTATAAGTTCACAAGAACCAAGCTTTAAATAGCGGCTATCTGTCTCGAGAGGCCGCAGTTTCTTTTTCACCGCAAACAAGAATGCGTCGTCTGCACGGAATTCTTCCAATCCTATTCCTTCTCCTGGCCATCTATCAGGTCCTGGGCCAGAATTCTTGGCCCTCAAGGGAGAGAAGGTGCGTTGCGCGTCATAAGTGCCGGTATCAAGTAGATTTCCGAGCCATGACTAAAGGAAATAATGGGTGCCCTGCCCCGGAAACTTACTGTCAAAATATACATATACTTGTAAGTGACGTTGTTGCGGTGTGTGAAAGATAATACAAACTATCGGCTGCCTTTTTAGAATGACGTGCCGGATATAAGCGTCGAAGAGACGGTAAATCCCGAATGCGGACGACCCAACACCAGAGGCGTAACCTTCGAAGTGCCGAACATGGATGGCTTTGCCCAGGAGTTCGAGTTTCCATGGATGGTGGCCTTGCTCGATATAAAAGGAGAATACTTGGGTGGTGGCGCCATTATCTCTCCCGAGGTGGTCATCACAGCCAACCATGTAACCAACAACCTAACCGAAGACCAGCTTATTGTCCGCGCTGGCGAATGGGACTTAAAAACCAACTCCGAGCATTTTCCACATGTTGATGCTAGAATCCGGTCGATCGTTCGTCATCCTGGCTTCGACAAATACAACGGGGCCAATAACGTGGCTCTCTTGTTCCTGCGCACTCCGCTAAAATTTACCCAACACATTAAGCTAATCTGCCTGCCGCCGAATAATAGGAATATTAGGAACTTGGATTACTCGCGCTGCATCCTCAGTGGCTGGGGTAAGAAGTCCTTTAACGACTTCACAGACATGAACGTCTTGAAGAAGATGGAGTTACCAATAGTCCATAACAATAAGTGCGAATATCAACTTCGTCGATTCTTCGGATACACATTCCAGCTCGACAACAGTCTCTTGTGCGCAAGCGGGGAGCTTGGAAAGGACACGTGCGGGTCTGATGGTGGCTCTCCGCTGGCTTGTTCCCTGCGAGAAGATCCCCAAAGGTATGAGCTGGCCGGCATTGTTAACTTTCGCGTTCTGTGCGGAAAGCAGGACGTCCCGACGGTTTATACCAATGTGGGAAAAATTCGAGATTGGATTATCATTGAGACTAACAAAAATTTGAACGTTTCCGCCCGCACATCGTGATCTCCTGTTTGAGTTTCCCGGGACAACCAACCGCACCGCAAAACCCCATATATCAATATAGTTTTCCCAAATCAACCTCATGTTGAAGAGCCAGATTTTAGCTGTGATGGATTTTCTGGTATATCTAAAGATTTCGACTATTCTTTATATTAAACGAACAATAATAAAGACAAGTTTTACAAGCATATTTTCATTTGCAGCGGCCTACATTTAAGAAACGCGTTTATATTACAGTGATATTAATAATTTCTTTCATTACTAATAACCTTTGCACACGTATTTCTCGATATCTCTTCTTCATAGTTTTTATACCCTTGCAGAGTGTATTATAATTTCAGTCAAAAGTTAGCAACGCAGCAAAGGATCCATATTCGACCCTATAAAGTATATATATTTTTGAGTATATATATTTCTTAAAAGTGAGGAAACCGAAATATTTATATTAGTTATTCCAAAAACAATAGGCGAGCTATTTGGCATTGTATATATTTATATACAAATCTTTTTTGTATACTAAATTATATTTTTTTTTAAAGGATAAACAAGTTTACAATGTACTTTAAACTGTTTAAAAGTTTATATTATATTATATATATATATTTATATTATCTTATATAAAAAAATTTAAAATTTACAAAAAAAACTCTTAAGCAGCATTTCAAAATAATAAATAATTAATAGCCCAAATAATGAAATGCACATGTGGTTTTAAGCATGTTGAATTCATAAATTATTACAAATAATCTACTTGATCATAAGTAAACCTATCTCCCATACTATTTTTTATTTATTAGCATTATTATATGTTTAGCCCAAAATAACTATTAAGTAACCACGATAGGTAGCACAAAATAAAATTTCGTCATTTTCTCCAGCCATCAATTCAAGCCACCTCATTCAGAACAGACTGAGCCACAACCCACTTGGTCTTACTCGTATCTACTTGGCCCAAAAGTGCTGCTGTGTGTCCGGAGCACAAAAGCAGCCCGCAACCTATCACAACATTTACTGAAGTACGTAACTCGACTCGAATCCAGACGCGACTTGGAATCGGGAATCGAGAATCGGACTCTGGGCTTAGGGTTTTTGGGCATGGTCTGTTACCAGAACAGCCGTTGTAGGTCAGTGGGAAATGTGCGGCTATAAGAGAGAGGTTCGTCAAAGAGAGCATGGCCAAGAGAGAGAGAGAACAACCCCAGAGACTCGGAGCTTTTCCGACTATTTCGAAGTCGAACAGAAAATATCCCACAAAAAGGGGAATTTGTCCCAAGAAAGACGAACGCTGGGAAATGTTATGATTTCCGAAATGTTAACTACAAGGCTTAAAACCAAAAACAAATGTGTACATTAAAATATTTTTATTTAGTATATTACAAATTTAATATATTATAAATTGATAAATAAATAGATAAATATAATATATATATTAAATATATGTATTTTAATAAATTTTCTTAGTTTTTAATTTGTGTTGAAAGATTTGATCTAAAGAAAGTTATTAAACCCGAAAGAAAACAAAAAACCAAAAATTTGCTGTACTATAAAACATTACAAAGTTTAAATAAAACCAATTGAATATAAACTTGATTCCATAGGCCTATAATATATCTTTGTAAAAGTTAAACAATAATTCCGGTTTTACAGAATTATTAAGTTCAACGTTATTAAACCCTCATTATATTTAATATGAGTAGATAAATATTTTTAACTTAAAAATTATGAAAAATTCCAAGTTGTTTCTTTAAGTTCTTAAAATGAAGGTGAATTTCTATGTAATCAAGCTATCAAGGTTGTTTAACCTCTGACTTGCAGTTTCCACCTTTATTTCCAAATGAATTACATTTTTTTTTTATAAAAAGCTCTTTAATTACAAATTGATACCTCTTAAAAAACAAATTTTTTTTGTGATGGAAGATACGCAAAAGCACGTATAGAAAATTCTTTGTAAGCTAAGGAGTGAGTAGAGGATAGAGAGTGAGAGTCGATCCATTTGCTGCCATCGGTTTTGTTCTTCATTCTGTTACTGTATGACTCCTTTCCCAATCAGCAAAATAAATCTCGATCTTCTTTGGAAAATTCCACCTGATTTGAACGTCGGTATGCAGTTGTAGAAGGGCTGTGCCGTAACTCTATACCGTACACGCTAATATTTGCACTAATTTGATTAAAAGCATTTTAATGGCTTGAAGACTTGGCTGGCCTCGCAGGTGAATGCTCGCACATTCATTTTGTTTGGGCTGCCGGCGAAATCTCTCCGGAAGTTTAGCCTGCTGCAGCGGAAGTACACACACCCGTACACAGTGAAGCCCCTACTGATGCCCAGAACCCCACCTCCTCCTCCCCATCCTCCTCCTCCTTCCCGCATCCTTCAAAATGGCCGCCCATTTAACGCATGTGTTTGCACGCCACAACTTTCCAATCCCCCAAGTCGAAGAAGACCCGGCCGAAGAATACGCCAAGGAATTTTTGGGGGGCGATGCTTTACGGCAGCCGGAATGGTAAAGATGGGAAACCCATGCCCAAAACTCAACTCCAAGGAATGTTCACTCGTCTTTTCTGGCTTCTACCGCTTCTATTTTTTCTTTTTTTTTGTGCTCTTTCTTCTGCTTGGGTTTGGGTTTTTCCGCCATTTCAGCAGAAAACTCAACCAACTCGCACAACCAAAAGGCTAAAAGTTCAAATGCAGCAGCAGCTCTGCCATTTCACCTGACTGCAAGAAAGTTTTTCATTTGATTTTTCACTTCCCATCCGCTGAGGTGGTTGGTTTGAGGTGGAAAACATTTTTCTGGTATTTTGGGTTGCCTGCGGGCCGCCCTTTTTCCCTCTCTTGCTTATCGTTTTAGCCGAATGTTCGAACTGTTCGCATTGGATTACTTGCGGATTTGTCCATGTCGTTATTTCGCCGGTCAGTTAAGCCCTGTCTTGGTACCATGGTACCTCCGGCACTGCCCCACATTCCCATTGGATTGTTCTCATTACGGAACGGGAGTAGGATAGGAGTTCCCCACTGCGGGAGTCCGTCATACTTTATTTGTTTTTCCAGCTAAGCGCAGAAGTTCAGCCATCAACCAAAACTTCAACTGCAGCGCAAAGTCAAATTTCTGACCAGACCCGAACCCAGTAAGTGGCGTCAAACTTTCAAAACTGAGCGTCTTGGCACTTTTGCATATTTCCACCGAGGAATACGGAAGGGAGGTGTGCCGAAATGGTTGGTTGGGCAAAGATCGTCGAAGGAGCAGAACCATTTACTTTGCCGCAGCGAAATATAAATACTCTCCAAAATTACAGAAATCGTAAAATAAAAGCCTAATGTTTCAGCAAAACCAATAACTGGAACTGATAAGTTGGTTACGATACCATAATCAGCCACTGCTATCTGTTCTATGTGAATAAACTTAAAACACAATCAACTTATAACATATTCAAATTCAAATTCAAATTTAAAGTATCTAATAAATATTATTTCTTAATTAAAAGCATTCAAATAAAATTAATAATCAAAAAAATGTTTTTAAAATAACAGCATTGTTGTTTTGTTTTAAGTGTCAATGAAAAAAAAACACAAAAATGAATGTATACATACTTTTTATTTTAAATATTGGATACATTATTCAGATGAAAAAACAATTATAATTATTATGTACTTAGGTATTTTGACATATAAAATAAATAACAAAATTTTAAAAAAAAAGGAATTGTTAACCCATTCCCAAAAACGAAAAAGGCACTACATGTTAAAAAATATATATGATTTTTCTTGAAAAACTATAAAAAATATGAAACTTTAAAAGGGATTTTCCCAAAAGTAAACTAAAGTTTCTGCAAGCCTTTTGGAAAAAGCCTGATGCTTTTGAGCTGCTGGACAATGAGAGACCCCATTGCTGACCTTTACCCGTTTATTTTTATTTCCTTAGACATCGTTTATCAGAGGTCTGGTCTGTCTTCGCTCGGCTGCATCCTTCTTTTAAACACTTACTTAAGTGGAAATTTATGTTGTTTTTCTAACCGTTCTTGGGAGCTGCCAGGCTATTGGTGCGCAAATGTTGCATTTGATATGTGCCAGACAAGGGACCTAAGCCCAAAGTCCAAGTCCAAGCCATTTGTTGTTGCACCCGCTGCACACCCACACCCACACACCCACGCACCCACACCCAAACGCAGATAAAGAATTAAGTATCTGTGTGAACGTAAAGACAAGTTGGCAAAGTTAAAGTTTTGCTTTAACAAGATAACACGAGCCAGCATGAAAAACTGTGGACGAAACTTTTTCCACAGTAGTTGGATGAAAATCTACTAAAAATTGCAGGAGAAAAAAGCTCTGCTTATAAAAAAAAGGAATTAGAAAAGATCAAATACCAGATCACAATAATTGGATTATTTATGGTTATCATTGAACATTTTTAATGTTAACCCTGCCAAGTTTATTATCTGTATGCGTTAATAAAGTTCCGAGGAAAAAACACAGAATTCCACTAGCACTACACAGCATTCCGTTTCACAGGTCGTTCGTTCGGTACTTAAAAAATAACGAAACACGATCTCAACTCATTGAAAATAAAAGTTGAAAAAAAAAAACGTCAGTAAGCTGACAGTCATCAGACAATGCTCCAAAAGTTACCCTCTTCGGCGGCAGGAACAGCTGAAACAAAAACATCGTCATCAGCAGCGGCTGGGAAACTGCTAAAAACGAAACGCGAAACAAAAAGCAAACAGCTGAAAAAAATCACAAAACTTCACACAAAAAGCACTCAAAATATTGTTGATTATGCCAGCACAGACAAAGCAAACTCACAAAAACAGGATGGGAAATTCTCACATTCAGATTCGATATCTTTATATTATAAACACTTCTTTCTTTTAACTAAAATATTTTTTATTGAGTAAAAAAATCTTAAAATTGAAAAAAATTTTGTGTTGAAATGCTCCTTATCGTTAATAAAAATTAATAATTTTAATCAATTTTAACATTCAATATTTCCCTAAAGCTATTATGTACACAAAATCAAAACTAACGTTAAGAGACGATTTTCGAATTGTGTGTTTTAAAAATCGACAGTACATGTAAGTTATTTTTTTATAAAATCAACTTAAGTGCTTATAATTCTAAGATTTGTTTCTAATTATAAACTCAATATGATCGA